TAGAATAAAATATTTTGGTTTGTTTACTTACTGTGTTATTCGTTTTTGCAATACCGTTGCACAGATTCGGTTTTACTTTTCCGTTATTTGCACATTCCTGCATTACTGTTTTAACTTTTATGCACGGTGTACTAAACCCTTTGTGGATCAATGACAATTTTAGAACTGTAAACAAAGGGTGGTCAGGAAAAAGTAAACAATGTTTACCCCACTTTTAATTATGTTTGTTTGAAAACGTTTATTTCCAAAGAAATACTCATTTATTAGTTAAATTAAACAGATATTGACGACTGCAATCCTAATCCATGTCGGAACGGGGCAACATGTACAGACCGCGTTGACTCCTATACATGCACGTGTGTCGCCGGATATACAGGAACTAATTGTGAAACAGGTAATACAAGTTTTTAGATAAGTTTTAAATATCTAGTTCTTATAGTAAAAACTAAAGCCTTCAGGTGGGTTTTGAGAATCATGCTGTAATTTCAATCTATATACAAGAACCGGTTGAACCGGGTGATGCTCCCCGAGAAGGTTCTGGACACAGGAAAGTATAAAAAAAATGAACAAAGGGCAAAAACTCCAAAATAAGGCAAAGCGGAGTTAAAAATGAACAAAGGGCATAAACTCCACAATAAGGCAAAGCGGAGTTATGTTTTTTTGCACTGCACTTCTATTCAATGAGATCTATCAATCTATAAAGTTTCCTGATGATATCAGAGTTATGTCCCGGGTAAAATTCAAAGTGTAAAAATGAACAAAGGGCAATAACTCCAAAATTAGACCAGGCTTTGTTTAGGTTCTTGAAGCACTGCAGTTCTATCCAATTATATCTAGCTACCTACAAAGTTTCATGTTGATATCACTAATAGTTTTAAAGTTATGTCCCAGACAAAAGTCAAAAAGTAAAAATAAACAAAGGGCAATAACTTCAAAATAAGGCAAGGCAGAGTAATGATTCTCTACCAATACACTTCCACCCAATGAGACCTATCTATGTACAAAGTTTCATGTTGATATCTCTTATAATTTTAGAGCAATGTCCCGGACAAAGTTCAAAGTGTCAAAATGAACAAAGGGCAATAACTCCAAAAGTAGGCAAGGCAGAGTTACGGTTCTTGTGCATTGCGCACCTACTCAATGAGATCTATCTTTCTACAAAATTTCATGTTGATACCACTTGTAGTTTTAGAGTTATGTCCAGGACAATGTTCAAAGTGTAAAATAAACAAAGGGGATAATTCAAAAAAATTAGGCAAGGCAGAGTTACGGTTCTTGTGCACTGCACACCTACTCAATGAGATCTATCTACCTACAAAGTTTCATGTTGATACCTCTTATACTTTTAGAGTTATGTCCCGGACAAAGTTCAAAGTGTAAAAATAAACAAATAGAAATAATTCAAAAATTAGGCAAGGCAGAGTTACGGTTCTTGTGCACTGCACACCTACTGAATGAGATCTATCTACCTACAAAGTTTCATGTTGATACCTCTTGTTGTTTCAAAGTTATGTCCCGGACAAGAAAAGGGGACGGACAGACGGACGGAAATACGGAAGGACGGACGGACAAGGCGGCGACTATATGCTCCCCCGAAATTTTTCGGGGAGCATAAAAAATAAATATTTAAGTGAAAAGCTAAAATGCTAATGTAAAATAAAAATTTAGTAAACAATAGCTGTCACCCAAGGGCGAATCCTCCGAAAAGGTTTCTTAAGCATGCAGGTATTATGAAAAGAAAAGAGAATGAAAGTAACTAATTGCTGAATATTTTTCTTTGTATTATTGTACCTGTAATCTCTAATTGTGATAGCATGAACCTTTTAAATATAAGTGTGACCTTGACCTTTGAAGAAGGGACGTGGTTCCTGGAAGCGACAAAATGCTGTTATAAGATAGACATTTGTGCCAAATTATTTTGAAATCCCTCAATGCATGACAAGGTTACAGTCTGGACATGATTGTTGTGTAAGTGGGGGCACACAGACAAACGGACATGAGCATTAGCCGCCACACATTGTCTTGATGTGGTAGACATTTATGGGAAGTTATTTTAAAACCTTCCATGCATGACAAAGTGACAGTCCGGACATGAATGTGTATCTTCAAACTCTTCTCGAGAGAATGGGTACCTTCAAACTATAAGTGTGACCTTGACCTTGGAGGTAGGGACAGGTCTTTGTCGCGACATGTTGTCTTGTTGGGTAGACATTTTTTTGCCTAGTTATTTTAAAATCCTTCGATTCATGACAAAGTTACAGCCCGGACACAAATGTGTGTACCTATTAACTCTAATTGTGATAAAGTGAACTTCAAAAAGGTAGCGTGACCTTGATCTTTGAGGTAGGGACTTGATTATTGGACACAACACATCGGCTTGATGTTGTAGACATTTATGCCAAGTTATTTTAAAATCCTTCGATGCATGACAAAGTTACAGCCCTGACACGATTGTGTGTACCTATTAATCCTAATGGTCATCATGTGAAACTTCAAAATGTTTTAGTGACCTTGACCTTTAAGGTAGAGATGTAATTCTTGGACCCTACACATCGTCATGATGTTGTAGACATTTATGCCTACTTATTTTAAAATCATTCAATGCATGACAAAGTTACAGTCCGGACACAAATATGTGTACCTATTTACTCTAATAACGATAATGTGAAACTTCAAAATGATAGTGTAACCTTGACCTCTGAGGTAGGTACGTGGTTCTTGGACGCGACAAATCGCCTTGATAATGTAGACCTTTGTGCTAAGTTATTTCAAAATCTCTCAATGTATGACAAAGTTAAAGTCCGGACACGAATGAAGTGGGGACGAACAGACGAACAGTGCGATAATATTATGCCACCCTTCGGGGGCTTAAAAAGCTTGGTTAAAATCAAGTACTCGTATAAGATTTGTCATTTATATCTGGAACAATAGATCGAATTAACCCGCACTGCGACTTTCCTTAACTAAGTACCATTTATTAAATCAAGTCCCTCATGATTGGTATACTTATATTGTTTGCATATATTTTGTTGCACAGGTCAAAGGTCAGGGTCACAATTAGATTATGAAATTTTTCTTCATAGCAATGCATATTGCTGCTCGTATCCGGCCAACAATTAGACATCCGTGTATGGCTTTTAAAAATACATTCATGGGTGTTTCATTTTAAATATTTGGGCATAGTAAAAATATTAGATGTGTTAGTGAAAATATTAGAAGTGTTTGTTTTAAGGTTTATTTCTTCACACATGTAACATTTTTATAATAGTACCATGCCTTCATTATAAATCAAAGGTAATGGTTCCTTTGCTAGGCACAGCTTCGTCGGCATTTGTCTGTTTTCATTGACAAAGTCCTTTACATAGATTGTTGGCGTATGTCTTACTGCTTTCAAAAGTGTATAAATGTATCAATTATGTTTGTTAGTATTACTTGTGTGTTAAGTATTGTCTTAGCGTTATCTTCATCTATACAACGTGGAGTCACATTAACACCTTTGTGGTTCAATGACAATTTTAGAACTGTAAACATGGGTGGTCAGGAAAAAGTAAACAATGTTTACCCCACTTTTTATGTTTGTCTGAAAACGTTTTTTTGGTGTTTTTTTTTCAAAATATATACTCATTTATTAGTTATATTAAACAGATATTGACGAGTGCAATCCTGATCCATGTCAGAACGGGGCAGCATGTACAGACGGCGTTGACTCTTATACGTGCACGTGTGTCGCCGGATATACAGGAACTAATTGTGAGACAGGTAATACAAGTTGTTAGATAAGTTTTAAATAAAGTTCTTATAGTCAAAACTTCGCCTTCAGGTGGGTTTTGAGAGTCATGCTGTAACTTCAATATATATAGAATATATATTTAAGTAGAAAGCTAAAATGTAAAATAAAAATCAAAATCATGGGTTATTTATATATTTAAGTAGAAAGCTACTGTCCTAAAATGATAATTTGGTCTTAACAGTACATGGGAAAGTCGAAAACGGGGTTATCTGGATTATCATCCGATATCGTAAAAGTAAACACTTACATATACTATATAGAATTATTCTTACATAATCGTTTGTGTATTACCGTTATGGCTCTATTGGTAGGTCGGAGTAATTGTAACTTTTAGTGTTTTGGAGTCATAGGTTCGAACCCCACTTAGTGTCATTTTATAACCACAGTTTTTTTTCTTACTCTGTTTTTATCATTATTCTTTATTTATTTTTCGTTTTCCTTTTTGTTTTCTTCTTATAATAAATATTTTATGGTATATATTCATTTTTTTATTTCCATTCTATTTTCTTTTTGTATTTTTTGATCGCAGTGTCATAAAATATTCGATATCATTCATATTCATGTATGTATATGAAACAAACGGTCAAACTTGTTTTCTGAACAATTGGCTGTACTGTTAGGAAAAAAAATGTGTCTTACCAGTAGTCGAACTTATGTCTGTACGGCTAAAACACATTACTGACATGGTTGCTCTACCTACTGTGCTAACAAGTGATATGATAATTTGAAGTTTTATTTTCATTTTTATAGGTTGTCGCATTGATCTGCCTAACCTATTTTTCGCATTGCTATTGGTCTTTGTTATGTAAACAATTGCTCAAGTTATCATCCTAGGACAAGTAGTAAGGCCCCCACGATTACACGTTTAAACGGACTCGTTTCGATTTTCATTCATAAACGTTTACGATATTGTTTACCGTTTAATCGAAATGACCATATTGTCTTACAAAATTTCTTAATCATTGCCTGTAATCATGGATTTTATCAATTCTAGTGGTTTATTCCAAAGTAAACAAACGGAAAATGGGTGTTTACAACCCTCCACACAGCATTACCGTGCAAAGTTGCTCGTGACATAATACATGTTTGGTAAAAAATGGGGTTACAATGCAAACAAGGGTGCCATAGTCACAAAATACGCCCGTTTACGAAAGCTTTAGATGGAGATGGGGCATTATGGATAAGTGTTATCTAGCAAGCAAGTTTTTATTCTTGGCACTGTGTTGTTAAATGAACCTTAAAACAAATCAGTAGGGAAGATATGCACAGGATGTGTGACTTTGACCTTGGTCGCAGGGACCTGAATTTTCTGCACGGCACTCAGCCTCACAATGATAACCATTTGTGCCAAATTATATTGAAATCCCTCTATGCATGTAGAAGTTTTGCTCCAGACAAGCGTTTTTTCTATGAGCTCTAACTGTGACCTTCACCTTTGACCTAGAGACTTGCTTCATGTGCAGGGCACTACGTCTCATGGTGGTGAATAATTCTATAAAGTAACATTAAAATTCCTCCATGCATGTAGAAAATATGCTCCGGACAACATCTGGATATTTAATCATCTCCAGTGACCTTGACCTTGCAAATATTAACCTAAATTAAATGTGTCACACCTGTAGTCATGATACTGTATTCCAAGAAAAGATTTCGCGCATTTTAAGTTAGCGGTTTTCGCGGTAGGCATGATTCCGCGAATCTTTATAGCCGCGAATATGTCACTTATAACAAATCCGCGAACATTTCTAGCTTCAGCCAAATATATCATAAAAAGTGCAGAATATTTATTATAATCTACTTACACAAAAAACATATAAACACAGGTGCTATAGAAATGTGTAAAGAATAATTTATGTATGTTATTGATACTAGTTTGCACGCTGAAAAAGAAAATATCAATTATTAGTAACTATCATGCTTATTGACGTTATTTGCTAGTCACAGCGTTGACAAACGCATTTATAGTTTGCGAACATTGAATGACTTGGATTTTATTTGCTTTGAGTAGGTGTAATCCTTTGTTAAATGTACAAAAGCGATAAAGTGCTACATTGATAAACAGTTGTTATGTTGTTATTATATAATGAAAGCGATGTACAGTCCGATAATGTGTAAAAAAATACGTATCGACATTTTGAAGATAAAGTCAGTTAGGATTCAAATTAGAATAAAAGCTAACGAGTCTGACTAAATCTTACTTAATAACATAATGAAAAAGGTAAGGAAATATGAAAGTGTTCACGGAACAACCGTCCTTGTTCAACTAGTCAATAGATGAAAATGTATCGAGTAACGTTGCGCTTAAGGTGCGAATTGTCAAAAAAAATAAAATAATTAAAAGCACTCAACAGGCAAAGTCATGCATCAAAAATGTAGCCTCCAAAAGCTGTAATTTAGGCCGTAACGACTTAACATTCGCGGAATTCGCGGTTACTACATATCCGCGAAAGTTTGTCTCCGCAAAAATGCCGACGTTGTGAAAAACGCAAAATATTGTATCCGCGAACATTTCTAGGAATACAGTAGTTACCATTTGTGCTACAATCCATCAATAAATGATGACTAAATGGTCCCTATACACATCTTCAAATTTTTATCTGAACTTTGACCTCTATGTGTAACCTTGACTTTGGTCGCAGGGATCTGAATTTTGCATGCGACACTCAGCCTCACAATGGTGAACATTTGTGCCAAGTTATATTGAAATCCCCCTATGAATGTAGAAGTTTTGCTCCGGACAAGCGTATTTCAATGAGCTCTAAGTGTGACCTTGACCTTTGACCTGGAGACATGGATCATGCATGGAGTAATACATATCATGGTGGTGAACATTTCCATAAAGTATTATAAAAATTCTTCCATACATGTAGTAGATATGCTCCAGACAAAATCTTGATATTTCACCATCTTTAGTGACCTTGACCTTGCATATATTGACCTAAAGTACATGTGTCACAGCCGTAGTCATGATAATGACCATTTGTGTTACAATCCCTCAATAAATGATGATTAAATCGTCCCTATACACATCTTCATATTTTTATCTAAACTTTGACCTCTATGTGTGACCTTGACCTTGGCTGCAGGGACCTGAATTTTTTGCGCGACACTCCGCCTCACAATGGTAAACATTTGTGCCAAATTATATTGAAATCCCTCTATGCATGTGGAAGTTTTGCCCCGGACAAGCGTTTTTCAATGAGCTCTAAGTGTGACCTTGACCTTTGACCTAGAGACCTAGTTCATGTGCGTGACATGGCTTCTCATTATGGTGAACATTTCTATGAAATTTCATTAAAATCCCTCCATGCGTGTAGGAGATATGCTCCGGACAAAATCTGGATATTTCATCATCTTTAGTGACCTTGGCCTTGTATATATTGACCTAAATTATATGTATCACAGCCATAGTCTTGATAATGACCAATTGTGTTACAATCCCTCAATAAATGATGACTAAATGGTCCATATACACATCTTCATATTTTTATCTGAACTTTGACCTCTATGTGTGACCTTGACCGCAAGGACCTGAATCTTGCGCGCAACACTCCGCCTCACAATGGTGAACATTTGTGCCAAGTAATATTGAAATCCCTCTATACATGTGGAAGTTTTGCTCCGGACAAGCATTTTTCAATGAGCTCTAAGTGTGACCTTGACCTTTGACTTAGAGACCTGGTTAATGTGCGCGAAACTGCTCCTCATAGTTATGAACATTCTTATGAAGTTTCATTTAAATCCCTCCATACATGTAGGAGATATGCTCTGGACAAAATTGGACGCTGCCCGCCCGACCGCCCGCCCGCCAGGGGCGTTCCCATAATACGTCCCCTTTTTCAAACGGGCGTATAAAAATGTGTGCTGACTCAATCGTGATGAGCCTTGCACATTCTTTATTTGTACATGTATTAAAAGTAGAAAGAAAGACATCATTTGGCGACTCAAATACATGGTGTGTATTTTTGTACATAGCGGTACCACCGTTTAAACGGTGTCTTTTCGGTTCTTAGCAGTCGTGTAAATGTTTACAAAAAATTGTAAACGTGGTGTTTCATGCTTAATATCTAAACTCTAGCTATTTGGGTTTTTCAAAGAAGAATTTTTAAGTTTTTGCTTTACACATATAAGGAAAATCAATGACCCCCGGGGTGGGGCCAATTTTGACTCCAGGGCTTTTACTTGAACAAACTTTGTAGACACCCATTAGCACATGTTTAATGGTAAATATCTTCTAGCTCTAGCTCTTTGGGTTCTTTAAAAAAAGATTTTTTAAGTTTTTCTTTATGCATATAGGGAAAACCATTGACCCCCTGGGACAGGGCCAATTTTGACCCCAGGGCTTTTATTTGAACAAACTTGGTAGACACTTATTAGAAGATATTTCATGCTAAATATCTTAGCTCTAGCTCTATGGGTTCTTTAAAGAAGATTTTTTAAGTTTTTACTATATGCATATAGGGAAAATCAATGACCCCCTGGGGCGGGTCACATTTTGACCCCAGGGCTTTTATTTGAACAAACTTGGTAGACACTTACTAGATGATGTTTCATGCTTAATATCTTAGCTCTAGCTCCATGGGTTCTTTAAAAGAAGAATTTTTAAGTTTTTACTATATGTATATAGGGAAAATCAATGACCCCCTGCGGCAGGGCCAATTTTGACCCCAGGGCTTTTATTTGAACAAACTTGGTAGACACCCATTAGAAGATGTTTCATGCTAAATATCTTCTAGCTCTAGCTCTTTGGGTTCTTTAAAAAAAAGATTTTTTAAGTTTTTCTTTATGCATATAGGGAAAACCAATGACCCCCTGGGACAGGGCCAATTTTGACCCCAGGGCTTTTATTTGAACAAACTTGGTAGACACTTATTAGAAGATATTTCATGCTAAATATCTTAGCTCTAGCTCTATGGGTTCTTTAAAGAAGATTTTTTAAGTTTTTACTATATGCATATAGGGAAAATCA